TATATTTTTAGTTGTCCAGCTAATTTCTTTCTATTTTTTTAGTAGAAATGCGGTCTCACTCTTGCTCAGGCTGGTCTTAAACTCCTGACCTCGATCGATCCTCCCGCCTCGGCCTCCCAGAGTGCTAGGATTATAGGCATGAGCCACCATGCCTGGCCGATATTGCTTTTTAAATTTAAATTTCTAATTGTTTGTTGCTAGTGTATATAAATTCAATCATATTTGTATAACAATCTTGTATTCTGCAACCTGATAAACTCGTTTATTAGTTGTAGTAGCTTTACTGTACCATTCTTGGGATTTTCTACATTAACAATCACATTGTCTGCATATGAAGATGAAGACAGTTTTACTTTCAACTTTTCCAATTAAATTACAGAATTATTTAGTAAGATAAATTTTAAAATTAGAGATCAATGTATTTACTTTCAACTAATGCAATTAAACAACTAAAAACCTATGTGCTGTTATAGAGTCAAATAGAGTGCTCTTAACCTCTAAATCTAAATATTTCCATATATAAAACCTGTTGGAATTATTTACAACCACCTTTAAAATTATTTTTATTGAATTTGTGTTTTGGTTATATAGTATTACATCGACAGAAGTATCCTCTCTATGAAGATCTATGGGAGAAACTTCTCTTTGATTTTAGAATCTGAAATAGTCACACATCCCTCAACCAATCAATTTAACCTTATAATGCAAGGAAACTGACACCTGATTCCTCTTCAGGTTGGCTGTTAAAATGCTTAGAGCAAAACCTGTGAGCTAACTCTTGCGCTTATACACGTATAGGACTTCCATGATCTAACTCTCTCTCTGTATAAGATTTTTTCTTAACCTTGCTTATGGTTCTATCTTACTTGCCTATTCTATTTTTCTTGGTTCATTTATTTTACTTTTAACTAATATCACCTTTCAACACTGCATACATCTTTCTAAGTAAGGAGAAAACAATGAGTCTAGTGTTGTTCCCTAGTCTGCAATAATTACGCCGTCCATCACTATCTGAGGACACATTCTGTAGCAACACCCCATTCATGTGTACATGAAATTTTAACTTACCAACAAAGGTAGTCCAGATCCACTACCAGAACTTTGTGACTGGTCAATAAGGTCTTTTAATGATTCTCCAACTGGAATAAACGCTTCGTCCTGTTCCAAATCACGATTGTAACGACGTCTGCTTGAGATGCTCTTGCAATAATGTCTTTTCAAAAAGCAGAAAACAATCTATGTTAAAATTTTAAAACGATAAAACTCTGAGTTAAGAAAAACTGAGGTTTTTTTACACTATCATCCTTCCTTCAGAAGGAATCATATCCAATTTAGTTTATCATAGGATAATATATTCTCTGTAAAAATACATCTAGAAATAGACTTTATGAGGTAGAGTTCTCTGTATCATGTTAAAATGGAAAGATATGTATTGGCAAGTGAAGTGTATTGGCAAGATGATGTATTGGCAAGTGAAAAAAAAGACCAAAATCAGGATGTAAAGCATCATCCTAGCTATAAAAAAGTTAAATATACTGTAATCCTAGCACTCTGGGAGGCTGAGGCGGGTGGATCGCTCAAGGTCAGG